ACGTATACTGGCCGGGAATGGACAAGGATATCGAAGATTTTGTAAGACTATGTAGAGGTTGTCAATTGGCTGCAAGGGCACCTCCGGTCAAAATGAATCCTTGGCCTAAAACGGATTTGCCGTGGGCACGTCTACATATAGACTATGCTGGACCAATCAATGGACACTATTATTTGATATTGGTGGACTCTTTATCGAAATGGCCTGAAGTAGTCAAGTGCAAGCATCCTACATCTAGGAACACCATCAGTGCATTGGATGAAATTTTCAGTCGTTTCGGGGTTCCCAGAACATTAGTTAGCGACAATGGTACGGCGTTCACAAGTATGGAATTTAAGGATTTCTGTACCGCCTTAGACATTGAACACATAACTACACCAGTGTGCCATCCCAGGTCGAACGGTCAAGCCGAGAAATTTGTCGACACTTTTAAACGTGCTTTACGTAAAAATAGAGGTATAGACACTGAAGAAAGAACTATTCAAAAGTTTTTAGCAATCTATAGGGTAACTCCTAATGAGAACTATTGTTTAAAATAGTTTTTTTGCGAAAATGTCACCTGCGGAAATTATGTTCGCAAGAAAAATTAGATCAATTTTCGATAGATTGTTACCCTATCAAAACAAAAAAGTTGCTAAAAAAGACGAAAAAGTCAATATAAAAAAATACACACCAGGAGACAGTTTTTTTTAAAAACTTTAAAAGTGGGAAAAGCTTTTGGATGGATGGCATAATCCAGAAAAGGATTGGTAAAGTGGTCTACATGATTAAAAGTAATAAATTTATGTGTAAAAGACACATCAATCAGATTAGACCACGATATGGTGAAGAAAGTGAAAAAAGCGAAGAAGAAATTCCGATGGAAGTGTTATGCGATGCTTTTAACATGACACTACCCAATAGTGTATTGGAACCTGTATCGCATGAACCAGCCTTACGGGCTGGAAAGCGGAAATTATCTTCGCCAAAAAAGGATCAAATTGCGACGACTGAAAGAAGGAGCACACGGCAAAGAAAACCAGTGGAGCGTTTTAGTCCGGATCCAAAAAGAAGACGATATTAGAAGCAGAAATTTTCAAAAGGAAGAATTTCAGCTTCGGGGGGAGGTGTTGTGATGAAATAACCTGATTTCCCCATTCACCATAAATGGACGTTCCGGTGGCCGATAAAGTTCGACCACAGTAAACAGTCCACAGAGAAACGACAACAGAGAGCGACAACAAAGGGCTTCGTTGACTACACCATTCGGTTAGCTTACTCCTACTCTGTCTCTGTATTTTGACATTCCTACATTCCGATATAAAGTATTATTATTTAAACCACCACTCGGGTTTACTTTGTTATTATATCTTTTTGCGAGATATAACGACTGGCGACGAGATATAACATCAAGAACAATATTGGGGAAAAATGTATGACAAAGTGGGAAAAGTTTTCTTGTGACACGTTTTGTCCTTTAGGGTTTAATCAGAATCAATTCTGAATGAGGGATGCTGGGAATTTTAAATTTATCTTTTTTTTTTTTTTTTTTTTTTTTCATCGCTCAGATTTTTAGATTCTTTTTCTTTCCATCACTACAACGAAAATATCTAGAGAGTGACTTGATCGCAAGGTCATCTACAGTAAATTGGCGCCCTGGCTCTTACAAATTTTCACCATTCCTGGCAGAACTTCTATTATTATAGTGTGAGATATCTAACAAAAGAATCTAAATGAAATAGTCTAAATAGTCGCACCAACATAACAAATTTAGTCCGATGAAGTCCTAAAGGACGAAACGCGTCACAAGAAAAGTTTTTCCACTTTGTCATATATATATATATATATATTGTATTTTATGGGAGGAAGGTAGGAGGAAGGGCGGCAAACTCATAACTGCCCCGGGCGGCATTCGCTCGACCTACGCCACTGATATTACAATATATTTTATTGCCTGAGCGAACAAAATGGAAAGAATACAAAAGGAATAAATGGAGATGTTTATGTAGAGATGTCATTATCATACATACGTTTGTGTCCTATGCAAGATGAGAGACTTACATTTGAGATTTCTTTATCTGTTGGCTTGAACTATTAAGTATCCCTGTGTGTAGTCAAGTTTAGGGTATTGTTTTGTGTTCAACGCGACATGTAGTCCACTGGTCACTAAGAGGCCCCCAGAGAAGAAAGCGATGCGTGTTATCTCTAAAATATCCTATGGCTAAAAGGATAAAAAAAAGCATGTGTGCCGGAGGCTAATCTTTGGTAATTATTTTATTGGAACTTCGGAAATAAAACAACTAGATATTAAGGGTATAAGGTATAAAAATATAATTTTATTTGATTTAGATTAGTGGGTCCTTTGATATTCGATGTAGCAAAATGTTCGTTTATAAGGCGGATATTGGTAGCAGTCTGGAGAAATATCCGTTTCGGTTCGGTAGTGGGTAGTTTTGATGTCAGACCTTGTTCATAGTAGTAGTCATCTTAGAAATAAGTCATTGTCAATCTACTGTGTTTTTATCGGCCTTATAGACATATTAGCAAATGACCGTTTAATTACTTCCCGAATGGCTGGTTTCTTTCGCGGTAGTGTCTTTTATTCCATCTCTCCCTCAGAGGTATGAGCTTATATCCTTTTGACCAAGCTCCGAGACTCTGATGCTAACTTTGATTTCGACTTACATCAAAAGTCTTTTTGTGTTAATGTTTTTTGATTGGCCAAAATTTATTTTATTTTCCGACGTTTCTTTTTCATTTGTTTTATATAACGGAAGTTATGCTTGGAGCTTGTCTGATTTTGGTAGATTTGTAGTCATAAATAAGTAGGCTCTAATCCCGCAAATTTCCGGCCTTTTTCTTCCACTTTTTTTTTATTTGAGGGTCGCCTTCTCATTAGTTAAGAGAAGTATATAGAGATAAGTTTATAGAGAGTAAAAGAGATAAAGTTTTTAAAGGGATGCGCAAATGCTTTATTTTAATTTAAATTCTTTTTATTTTTGTTTATATATTTTATTGGAACTCACTAAAAAAATTTTGCAGTCTTTTCTACTTTGAATAATTCCACACTATTTTCTGAGTTAAATTACAGTAGTCAAATTAAACAGGAGTGTTTCAGACTTACGTTGTGGTCTTGCTGGATGTAAGAATAGCTAAAGCCATTTCGAATATTAAAATTAATTACAAACCTCTCATTCGAGGGCATCTGAGATCTACTTCCTTCTATGAAATCGGAAAATTATCCCATTTGATAATACCAACTTTATTTATTCACCTAAAGAAATCTCTTTGGCAAAGAATTTTTTTTTCTCTTGCTCTTGAGAAATATTTTCATTATACTTTCCGTGCGAATTTATCAATCTGACAAAATGCCCGAGTGAGAAGTCTGCAGAATTCATTCTCGATTCGAGGCGGATATTTTAATTGCTAAAACTTCGTTTCTTACACGATTTATCCCATATTATCCACCGGTTGCCACTTTAAACTGACTTTTTTTTATTTTTTATTTTTTAATTTAATTTTTTTTATTTTTTATTTTTATTTTTTTTTTTTTTTTAATTTTTTTTATTTCGTATTTTCTTGATTTCAGATAAAAACCTTAATTTTCCAACATATTTCAGTGAAATTTTCACTTTCCAAAATAATCGTTTATAGAATTATAGTTTAGATGTGTGGAAAAAAAGATGGCGCCAGTTTAAACTTTTTTTTTCCTAAAATTATCGCTATTTTGCATAAAGTTTGTATTTTCTTGATTTCAAATGAAAATTTTGAAAATTTTCAATATATTTCTGTGAAATTTTCACTTACCAAATTTATAGTTTAAATATGGAAAATGTGTTAGCTTAAACTGACGCCAGAATATGGATTAAATACAAATTGACGCTTTTTGTACTGCACTTGAGGTATTTACTAAACATTGCTCAGTCTGCTACACAAGTCTGGGATATCCAGTTAATATCAAATTCATTACATTAGCAAATCAATCTACGTGATCAGTTGCTCTGTAGGAGGCGTAAACGTTATAGCCGTTATTATTGTCAACAATTCTAATCTAATCCAACCACATTTTTGTTATTAAAACCTGTCAGGTATCGTAAGAAATAATCTTACCGCATCAATAAGATTGATCAAAACTTTCTCAAGGTCTTCATTTTTGTGGTATTTGAATACCTACCCCAGTATTCTTGCGAATTTGCCTTTATCCAAATCATAATTTCACGTAAACAGCTTCTTAAATGCACATGGCCTGCATTTTAAGTTCGATGTCATCTGTCAACCTGACAATGTTATAGTCAACCGCATCTCATATTTCTCAGTTTCAGGGAGTCGTACAACTCTAAGGCAATTCTGAATTTCAAACTCAATGCCCATTGTTTCAGTCCCGGACTTCGGTTTTTCATTTTTTTTTTTTTTTTTACAGGCTATTATATTTTCCAAAATTAAGCTATTTTTTTTCTTTTTTCAATACTTTAAACGTTAAGTGTACACACGTGTTTGAGTTTGTGTAGACATACTTTTTTTGGTTAAACAGAATAAATTTGTCTACTGGACAGAACATTCAAGGCTCTTCATAAAGAAAATGCACATTCTGACTGGGTTCGAACCTGCTTCCATCTTTTAGAGGAAACCAACTTTAAATCCGACTCAGCTACAAGAGACTGTCAGTCAAGCAAAAGTTCATTAAAGCAGAATTTATAAATTAATGTATGAACAACCTGAAGTTTTTGTTTCGCCGCCTTTTCGCCTCGGTCCAGTCCTATTGCCATCCTGCCCCAACCAGGCACAACAATCAGTTGATCTATAGTAGGATGAGTGTTGGCTTGTCACCAGAGAGGTTTGATGGACTGAACTAGCAAGTGTACTTGTTCAACGCGTCTAGATAAACGATAAGGTGCAAAAATCAATTTCGAAAATGTCAAATGTAAGTGAATATAACGAACCCAACAGGAATTGGAACTCTGCTTTCCGATTAATAATTACAAGCTTTTACACATGACATCATCCGCATACCCACACTTAGAGTACCTGGTATCCCAAATGATCACCCATTTAGGTACTGATCACTCAATGTTGCTTAACTTCGGTGATCGTACGAGAACTGGTGTTTCAACGTGATGTGGCCGCAAAAAGTTAGAAGGACAATTCTGAATTAAAATCCGTAATAACCACATCAAGGATTGCCTTTTGGCACCTGGAAGCCATTTGTGCCAGGATTACATTGTCATCAATGGCATAATCTAACAGACCAGATTTTCATACAAAAGATTCTTCATACTGAAACAGGGATGAGAAACTCATTATTCCGAGTCAGATGGAAACAGCGTAAAACACACTATGTCTCTTAATATACGCGCAACCGAAACCTCTACAATGACGCACATAAACAGCGTGTGAGTGTTATGGGTCGTCCCTACGGGCCACCTAGTTATGTAATAATAAAGCAATACTGGTTGAGAGAATGAAGCCATTTGAGAGATTACCTCAGTAGGCTAGATTATTAATGAAAGTTAACTGCATGTGAAGTTTCATTGACCAGTACAATCACAATATGCTCGGGAATACCAAGTGCTATAAGTTTGGATGTGAGGGTGGTTTAATAGATAATGGCTCGGAATGTTAATCGGAGAGCCGAGTTCCAATTCCCGTTGGGTTTATCATATTCACTTACGCACAAAATACCCTAAGGAAATGTATGAATTCAACTCATCTCCCCCAGCTATGGGTTAATTAGTAAGATTTGTATTAATAACCATTATGATCTCAAAAAAATTCTTACAATGTGAAAATATTTTCTGGCTTTAAACAAGCCATAGAAAACAAATCAGTCGATCACAATATGGTTAGTCTTGGATGTTTCTGATAACTCGTCGGATGATCGTCGTGAATGGAGATGTTGATGTATTTGTTTAACAGAATCGGAAATAGGATTCTACGAGGGGATGGCGTGAGGTAATGGCAAGTGAAAATAGTCTGGTTGACCATTGCTACTGTCTCTAGATACACAATGATTAGCGAATTAAAGTATTGATGTCTGTTTAATAAATCCTACCTGTGGTTTGAAGACTTACATCAACAGCAGCTGATAAACAACACGCCATTATTTGTCTTGTATAAACCCGAAGCCTGACTATAATTGAATGCTGTTTTAAGAACTCATTTAATCAGAAAAGCTTTTTTTATATAGTTGACTGAATTAAAACTTCGATTCAGCATGTAAAAGAGACATTTTCCGTAAAAAAAAATTAAATTCTGTATCTTCTAGTTTGCTTCTTTTTTTTTTTAACAATGTGCGGCTCGTGCGCTGAAGATTACGTAATAACGTAATAAATTATTTTGTCAATTTTAATCTCTGCTCCTGTCTAATATAACCCCCAAAATCCGGTGTTTACAAGTAATAAAAAATAAAATGAAATAATAAAATAAAACTTTAACACCATCTTGCTTTTTAACTTCATTGTACCTTAAGAATTCTTATGGCTTCTAATTAAATAATATCCTAAGTATGAGCAACGGTAATGAATTTCATGTGAATCTCTTATTAATGTTCTTGTTATTTTCTAAAAGCCAGGGATTTTATATCAGGAAGATTTAGTAATGCTTCATTTCAACGAATAAATTTTCTTAAGTTCAAGACTCGAAATGAATCTTTGGTTTTGTGCGTGCGTGCGCATTTGGAGATTTAAAAACTTTGCAGCAATAATAGTTTGCCATTTTGATTTTCTTAAGGGTTTTTGATTTGCGCAAGCGTATTACTTACCTCTGTCGACTCGAACTATGAAGTAAGCAGGTACATTGACATATACGTCGAAGTCTTAAATCAGTTCCCTCACAGTGCTGTTTTTTTTTTTTTTTTGTTTTTCTTAAGCTGTAGCAACAAGATGAAGAGATCTTTACGATTTAAAGCAATATCGCATTCATAAAATACAAGTTCTTACGTCAATGTACAAGACTGATCGGTCACAACAGTAAAGTATCATATTTTATGTCATATAAACCCCACATTATCCGTCACATTATACAACAAATAAATTTAGCGATTTAGTAAGCAAAGCTTAGATGTGGCATAAGACCGAAAGTATGCAGCACTCATAAATAGCACATAAATTATTTTTTAACAACATAAAAATGACGAAAATGAAAAAAATCGGCAGTCAGTTGTATATACCTCCTGACGAGTGGACGGAACAATTACGAAAGTTTCGTCTACGAAACTCTGGTTGGGGGTGATTAATCAGCTAAGTGACAAATTTTATATTTGTATTAATCCCTTTTATCTCTCTCCAATATATATATATATATATATATATATATATATATATATATGACATGTCCCATTAAACACTTTAGACAAGTTTTGTCTACTTATTTTAAATATGATCCTCTCGTATTCATGGACAAGCTTCTTAGTATCCTTATTAAAGGAAGGAAGGAAGAAAGTTACCATGTTGATGCACATTCATTTATTCTGCGTACATTCGACATTAGCAAAATGTCATCCTCAGGACTTTGTTTTATCTAATTTGTTGTTTATCTGAAAATAAATCAGAAATTCAACACTGGTTAACATTTTTTTAAATAAATAAATACACTATATCAATCTTCCGAACAAAATGGATAAATTTATTAATATTTACAACTATGAGTTAACTAAGCATCAAAGTGGATTGCTTAACTGCTATATAAACCGTAAATCTCGGATTGAGGAATCGGAGAGCCAAGTTCGAATTCCAGTCGAATCCATTACATTTTACTTACGTGCTAATACTCTTGGGAAAGGTATGAATCCTCTTCTTCCCCTCCCCCTTCAAGCTATGGATAAATAGCAGGACAGACCGGGTTCTATAGACTTGGATGGCAACTGGTCAACCACAGAAAGAAATGGCAACCTACTGTGGGGGAAAAAAATCTGCCTCATCACTCATGTATCGAAAGATACATGATCGCCTAAGCGTCTTTAAAAATTTAAATGCAATGTCAATCGTTATCTTCTGTCTTAATCCTTATTATTTTGTTTTCTCCCCTTAATAGTTTTTTTCTCATTAACCCTTTGCGTCTTAGTGGCTTTATTGCTTTGTTTGGTGTTGAAACGATTAAAAAAATCTAACGATCTTCTCGTCGAATGGCGGCTAAACGCGACTGAAACCGGGCTGCTGTTTATATTTTTCAATCCCTTTAAACTGTGATTTGCTTGCGGCAAAAGGCAAAGTGCGCTTCTTACGTTCTTTAAGTTCACCTTTTGCTAATGTTCTTGGATTAATTCTGATTCCAGGCATCTTCGTTTTTTTTTCTTTCTTGCCTTATTGTGACATCTTCTCCCAAAAGCACCAAGAGGGTCAAAAAAAAAAAAGTTGATACAAACACACGTGGAAAGTCAGTCCTCAAAACCATGATTCCAGTTAAACTACGGCTAAGTTAACTTGAAAATCATTTCAAAGATTTTCCTAACATATGCAAAAGATGGAAACAGGAACTTTTACTTTCAGCCTTATACAAAATTATTTTCAGTTGTAAGTGAATATCATCAAAAATACCTTATTGTAGTGGATTTTCGAGGCCTCGTTTTTCATTATATAGTGCTGAATATCCTTGACAAAAATTAGAAACAAAGAAAAGAGCATTGAACTGTTACATGATATCTGTCTTTGTATATGACAGCGAATGCTGGACAATCTCCTTCAAGATGAAGAGACGAAGCAACAGAAATGTGGTTCTACAAAAAGATGCCATGGACCGAACATATGAGCAACGACGAGGAAGGAAACATATACTTAACATCAAGAAGAGTCAGTTGAAATTTCTGTGGCTCGTCATGAGGAAAGAGGGCTTGGAAAACCTGATACTCACAGGAAAGATGGAGAGAAAGAGGGACAGAGGAAAACAGCATGTAATGTACTTGATGAGCTTAAATAAATGGATGGTAGAACAGGGTTTGGGAGAAATAACAAAGACAGAACTTATTGTGAGCTACAAGGGACAGGAAGATGTGGAGGACCATGATCGCCTACGTCCTGAAGTGACACGGCATATAAAAGAAGAATCCTTGACTCTCTCTTCTTCTTTTATACAATGTCTTTCATTCAATGTCAACACAGCTTTTGCAGTTTCCTTTATAACAATATTATAGTGACCATCTCTCTGAAACAGATGTTCAAACGAGCTATATTCCTTAGTTCTATCATTTCAGACCTTCACAGCTAGAACACACCATGCTACGTACACGGGTTCAATTCATCCTCATTCTCTTCGTATTCCTTTAGTAAGGAGGAAGTTCCACTCAGCTTCTTCCCCAGAACTGTCAATTTGTCAGTGATTTTTTTTTATGGTTTATCATCTCTTTGTGTGTTATTTAAAGCCAAAACATATTTTAGATTCCAATAATTTTTTTGCAAGTGAATATTATATTCATTTTTTGAGAATAACAATGATTTTTTCCAGATACATGTTTTACTATTTAACACATAGCGAGAGGAAGATGGATTCATACCTTTCCCAAGGGTATTTGCATATAAGTGAATGTAATGAACCCAATTCCAGCTTGCTCTCCATTAAACCACCTGCACCACCCTTTGTAGAACAGACCCTGACAGGGTGGATACCTGAGCATGCTAATCTTAACCACTTATGTGAAGGGTCAGTTGTTATATATCTTAGATATCCCTGATAATATGCATTCCATAATTCCTCCTTTTATGCCTTTACAGCAACCTCATTCAATAACCCTCTACCTTGAGGGGCTATTGGGCCTTGTACTGGGTGAACAATAGTATAAAAGTATTATGTGTGATGGTCACTTTGAACTTCATAAAATTCAGGTGATGACAACGTTCATCATCAATTTAATCTATATATTACATATACACATTAATGAACATAGCTTCTTTTTTTTAAATCATTTCACCCCAAGCAAGGCAATAAAGCCACTAAGAAGCAAGGGATTAATGAATGTTAGAGAATATGAGGAAAAAACACTATTAAGGAGAGAGAACAATAAAAGAACAGAGATAAAGACAATAGAAAATAATGATTGACATTGCATTTTAAATTTTGAAGATCAAAGTTGACTGGGAAGCAAAAAGCCAGAAAAGTTCCACAAGCAAGAAGTGAGAAAGAAGTTACAAGCATAGAA